CATAAATGAACAAGTTCTAACTATACCGTTTTTATACTATCTAAAGTCAAATCCTTATTAAAGTACTACATATATGAAGCCTTTAGAACGAGAACGAAAACACATAGAAAACATTAATGACTCCGAAAATCAATATTATCTATAGCACAATGAATAAAATGTACAAATACATAATTCTACAAAATATCAACTAGAGAAAGAATCCAAAACTGCGTAGAAGTAAAACAAACAACAAGAATTGTAGAAAGCAAACAAAAAGTGAAACTACGCGTCCTGGTGATGCGGTCCGGTGGTGGTAGTACCATTGACGCCATTAGAGTACTTGTTTGTAGTCGGTGCAGCGACTGTGTTACCTCCACGGCTCTTACGGCGAAGAACAATGAACCAAGTGAGTGGCTCAAGAATAACGACGCAAGCACCAAGAAAAATGAGGATTCCAATGTAAGCCCAACGCCATTTATCTTCCGGGTCCAAAATGTCGAATCCTTTAAAGATGTTGATAATAGAGAGTATGATAGTTGTGTATCCCACGGTGTGATGGTATACGTTCCAGTAGAATCGGTATTTGTGGTCTGGCTTTGGCCTTAGAAGCAAAGCAAATACTTGAAGTGTCGCGAATGTGAAAATCGCGATTCCAAGGCTACGATGAGTTGAGTAAGATGTGCCTGGTGAGTCATTCCCAAGCTTGATTCCTGTGGCCCAACCGGCTACACCAATAACGTAACCGGAGACTTGGAAGGCAATGTGGAGATAGAACCAGGTTGGGTCAGTGAAGACTTTCATGTACCGAGCCATCATTGCTCCCATTGGCAATAGCACTCCCCAGCTTACCGCATTAAGTATTCCATGTGTCTGTTTTAATCCAATAGTTAGTCAACAATGTTTAATACACTTACGTAAAAAAATACGAATTTCTATAAGCTATAGGACTATTTCGAAAGTCAATATTAATATTGGTAGGGAAGAAAGATTTTTCTAATTGTATCTAGGATATCATTTTTTGTCTAAGTTAGTCAAATAAATTAACTTAGAATATTTAATACTTGAGAGATAAATTAGGACCCGTAATTGAATTTCCATGCAATCTACTAATAGGAATATGTATATACCAACATGTGATTTATGGAAACGAGACAATTTTATACGAGTTTGGTGAAAGTGAAATAGTGACGAGAAGTCCACTTTCTTTTTCGGAGAAAACCTAACATATGCGTCGTTGATTTTTGACTAACTTAGAAGAAATTAAATTATAAAATTATCACTTTACCTAGATATAAATGATCTACATGTACAACAAATATATACGTAGCTGTTTTTATTAATTAATAAAATAAGTGAATGCTTGGTTTAAAATTACGCCATCATTTCATTTTCTTATCTTCAGTGGATTCAGTGATTTGTATGTTTTCAAACACGTCAAAATATGCTCGTCAAGTCTACTATTTCAAGATTGATATTTTGATTTTTTAAACAATTAGTTGTAAG